CGGTCGACACTGTTGTTTTTTCCACAAACTTTACATATCGGGAAGACCCAGCCGCCGTCACGATTATCAATTACACATCAGTCATCAAGACTGGCAATGAGTGTTCTGGCTTTTTCACTCGGACAAGCTGTACGCTTACCCCTGCTACTATCGAATACCCGTTCATGATAAGCAACAACAGCATCACCCTCGATCCCGATAAATCCTGGAAGACCGACCGAGCGCTAGCCTTTCATGTGAAACACTTTGATGCGCCACAGACTCGAAATAACGAAACTCTACACGGCGGATTTTGGCTATATCTGAAGAACGTTTACACTTCTGAGTCATCGACCAAGTGGCTTGGAGACTCCCAGTGGGGCTCAACATATACCGGAGCAACCTCCATGCGCTATGCGCGCAGTGTAGCTACAGGATGCCGTGCAGACTTCCTGGACCCGACTCATGACATCATGAGCTATGCACGAGAACTCGCATTTCGGCAAGCACTCAAATCATTCAGTAATTATTCAGCTACATACGAAGTTGAAGTGCAAGAGTCTTTGAATCAAGTCGTCTACCGTAGTCAGTACATCTACCTCGCCATCGCTGTAGCCATCACTTTACTAGCGACTCTTTGCGTCTTCAGCATATCTCTGGGATGGTGGCACCTCGGCAGAGACGTTTCGCTATCACCAATCGAAGTCGCCAAAGCGTTCGCCGCCCCAGCACTGCACGACGCAAGTTCGAACGCAAAACTGTTAACGCTTGTTTATGAGGTCGGCTCAAAAAAGCTTGAATATGGAACTGCATGGGACGATGAGGGTGATCGTGAAGACGCGGAGCCTAGTTTAAGGTTCGGGGAGCCCGGGGATTGTGAGAAGCCCCAACATGGCCAAAAGTTTGGTCTTTGAGCTGGGAACATGATTGAGGTTGCTTACATCTTGGGTTCTTGCTGTTACCGCGGGCCTGTGATTTCGGTTGCTGTTTGCACCTTCCCTATAAGAGAGCGCGGTGGCGTCATTGTGGGATGAGACGGTGGCTGAGGCTTCCTACAACTGCTCATGTACTACCTCGCGACTACTTATTCCAACGAACCCCGTTTCCTTGGCGATGAGATGAAATCATCCCATGTGGATACCATCAGGCCATGCGATAAGGTACCCAGGTAGTGCCAACGCCACAGCATGACCTCACTCTCGTGCCAGCTACATGTCAGCCACACTCAACTTCGACATACCCTCTATTATACCTTTACCTACGCACTCTTTTGCCGAGTAATAACGGTCCGATGCGTCCTCTTCAGGAACTGGCCCAAGACGCCAGTGGCCACGCCAGTCCCAGTAATCACGAAACAAGCGGTTCTTTCAGTGGCACTACTCGTAGTGTTGTGTCTGATGATAGCGCACAAGATGTAAGTGACTGCCTGAACGTGGAAAGAGCCGCAGCTAACAACATATGACAGGAGAAGCTCGTACAGTTTCTGGCATCATCTACCCTTGATGAGACCACTACTAGTAGTTTGCTCAAAACGTTCTGTAGGGACATGGAACAGCCGGTTTATTCATCACTAGGGGGTCGATGTAGGTTCGCCTTGCTCCGTCTCGTTCTCCAATACTGACATGAGCCAGACAAGTATCGATCCGCTGATGGAAGCAACAACAACATTCACCTGCCTAATGTCGGTAAGGCTGGTTCTTACTACGCGCGCATGGTCACTCCAAGACATATACCTACAAAGCTTCCCGATCCAGAACTGCTCTTCGATACACTGCTCGCGCGAGAAGCCAAGCCAAAGCCACACCCCAGCCAACTATCGAGTCTGTTCTTTGCCTTCGCGGCTGTCATGGTATGCGATGTGTTTCGCACAGGCGACGAAGATAACGATGTGGCCATGACATCTTCATACCTGGACCTGTCGTCACTATACGGAGAGTCCGAGGAAGCACAGAGCTCGGTCCGTACTTTCGTCGATGGTAAGTTGAAGCCTGATGCTTTCGCTGATACAAGGATCCTCAGTCGGCCAGCAGCGGTAAGATACGACCTCAAGTCTTTTGTGAAATTGCTCACTATCGGTAGTCCTCTGCCCTGATCGTATGCTTTTCGCGGTTTCACAACATCGTTGTCGAGCAACTGGCCATCATCAATGAGAGCGGTCGATTCAGCCCTCCCTGCAACGCGGCTGGAATTGACACTGGGTTTTACAAGCGAGCTCTCAGCAAGCGTGACAACGACCTCTTCCAGACTGCACGGCTGGTAACGACGGGATTATACATCAACATTGTCCTGAAAGACTACGTGCGCACGATTCTCAATCTACAGTGCGTAGATTCTTCGGTGACCTTGGATCCGCGAGCAAAAATAGAGGGTATTATCGGGCAAACAGACGTTGATAAGGCCCGCGGCAACCAGACAAGCGCCGAGATCAACATGATCTATCGGTGGCATTCGACCATATCGAACAAGGACGAGGACTGGCTCACAGAACACATGTCTATGATATGTCCAGATATGAAGATTGGCCATCTGACATTGGAAGACATGCGAGCTGGCATGCGTCGACATGCTGCTATACCGCCTGCGGATCCTGGTCGGCGTGTCTTCGCTGGTCTCGAAAGGAAGAACGACGGCTACTTTCGCGATGAGGATATCGTTCAGATACTCACAGAAGCTACGGATGAAGTTGCCATGAGCTTCGGCCCACATCGGGTTCCTCTGGCGTTGAAGGTGATCGAAGTGATGAGTATTGAGCAAGGCCGGCAATGGGGCGTAGCTTCTCTCAATGAGACCAGAAGATTCTTCGGGATGACGTCTCACACCTCGTTCAGCGATATTCACTCCGACCCTGACGTCGCTGCCGCGCTCGAAGTCTTGTACGAAGATGTTGAGAACGTTGAGCTATATGCCGGAACTATTCTGGAAGAGCCAACTGCCCCGATGACTCCGGGATCAGGTCTGTGTGCAGGAACGACGGCGACCAGAGCAGTGGTGTCACATGCGCTCTCTCTTATTCGGGGTGATCGATTCTACACCGTGGACTACACCCCGCACCACCTAACAGCTTTTGGGTTCAACGCAGCTTCCAGCGAATACTCAATCGATGGCGGGGGTGTCATGTACAAGCTACTGATGAGAGTCTTTCCCGAATACTATCGTGGCAACTCGATTTACGCGCACTACCCGCTAACCACGCCTGTGGAGATGAGACGACGACAGAAGTCTCTCGGACACGAAACAGATTTCTGCTATGAGAAGCCTCGCTACGGGTCGCCTCCCACAGTCATCACCGATTACAAGATGATCCTCCGTATTCTTCGTGACCAGACTTTGTACACGACAGCTTGGACTCATACCTTGCGGCAATTGGAGTATCAACCACACGTTCTGCTTGGTCACACCAGCGCTGCCATCAAACAGCAAGACATTATTCGACAGGCTATACTCGGCCCAGAGGAGTCTGTGGAAATCTTTGCGCACTTCCTCAACCTGAAAACCACCCAGCTCGTGCAAACCAACAGCAAGTGGCTTTTCAAAGTGGCCGAAATAGACGCGATCAAAGACGTGGCAGCTCGCAGTTGGACACAATTTGCTGCGTGTCTGTTCAACATCCCGATCAACGACTCGCAAGATTCAACGGCCAGCTTTGATGACAAGCAGCTCTTCAGCAAGATGATAGCAGTATTTCACTTTGTTCATCTAGACAACAACCCTGCGAAGTCTGCCGCACTCCGGAGGGATGCAATCACTGCAAGCGATGAAATGTCGAAAGAGGTCAGGGTTGTTTGCGAGGGGATGAAGGCATCACCCACTGTGCAGTTTCCGGATCCCCGAAAACGACGACATGCGAAGCGCAATCTCATGCCAGACCATGGAGCGAAAGTGATGCAACGGCTCTTCGACAATGGGGCGAAGGTCAAAGAAGTCGTCTCTCTAGTGGTCATACTTGCCGTTGATCTTGTCGTGTTTAGCACCTTTGCCGTAAGCCTAGGAGTCGCTTCATGCATACGCCCCTGCTGATCATTACTAGTTCTGCCAAGTCATCGATCTCTTCCTCTCGGAACCTTACCATTCTACGCACTGGCCGGACATCCAGAAACTAGCGAAAGATATCACACCAGCAAATTCCGAGGTATTGCGCGCATACGTGCTTGAGGCTCTGCGCCTTATCACACCCGCAACTGGCTTCCTCCGCATCCCTAACACCTTTCTCACTACTAGCGACTGGCGGCACGCAGAGGGTATAAACAAAGGCGATGACCTTATCCTCGACGTGGCAACCGCATCTCGCGACCCCGCTGTCTTTCCTGACCCCGACAACATCAACCTCGATCGTCCCCAAGAGCTGTACCTACCTTTCATCGACGGGCTACACGGAGCACTGACCAGGCCTATTATCGTTGCTGGTTTAGTCACCCAGTTGCGTATCTTTGCTCGGATGGAAGGACTCAGAAAGGGGCCGGGTACGCAAGAGACGTTGAGACGGGAGGTTCAAGAGGGTACTGTAAGCTTTTTGAGCGAGGCTAAGGATGAGTGGGTGCCACTGCCAGTCAGTAAGTACAGGTTCGCTACATGAACTATTTGTGAGCATTCTAACCGTTTGGAATAGGCATGCGAGTTCACTACGACACCTTCGATCCTACTGCATGCGCGACCTTGGCATGATGATTACCATGATGGACATCATTTGATTGAAAGAATGATAGAGACGCCACACCACCAACCAAACGAGTTACATGGTAGTCTCAAATATGTATCCTTAGTCTCTTACTACTATACCTCCGCTTTGCTTCGCATTCGAATCCCGCGACTCGTTCCACATTGGTCATAGATTTCCTCTAATCCCTTTAGCCCCGCATCTAAGTATTGGGATTGAACCAATCGCCATGCCTAAAATAAGACTCGTAGTAGTAGTACTCGTGACGATTCTCGTCATGAAATGCGCATAATGTTCCACAGCTACATCTCGGAGGCCTATTAGAGGATCAGTATACGTCTGACACAAATCACATGTACCTTGTTACTCACAGTTCCTCATCCGGGGTATCAAGAATGACCTTCAACGCCGCTTCCTGGTCGTGATGGCGCTGGCCCTTGAATATCGCCTCCCACTTCTCTTTCGTGGCCGTCTTCACGGCACCGGTCAACGTCACCGTTAATCTCTCCTCCAGGCTCTCTTCCTTGCACTTATTAATCAGGAAGGGATATGCGAAGGTACAAATCCAGTCCACTATCGTACGCTGACAGCAAATGTAATCTTCTCCTCCATACCGAGGCAATCGATGTTTATCGGGTCTACAGCCCCAGGGGCTGCCCTGGTAGCCGTCATACGGTGTCCGAAAGCGGAGATGTAAGTCACGGAGGTTGTCAAGCTTTTGAAGACAAGAACCCATTGACTCAGAAGCAGTAATCGCGATCGGAGAATAAAGCAGACTAACGCCGAAGAACTCAAACCACTCCACATTCGTGAAGTTCAACTCGATCTTACTCAGATGCTGGTAAGCCATCGCTGGACCCGCCCACGCTTTAATGGCTAGAACGAACAGGTCTGGTGTGAAGAACCGGCTACGCATTCGTACCCAGGCAAAGTGGAGGAACTCTTCGCGGATCGTGGAGTTTACCGCCGAAAGCGAGAGACTCGGTTTGTGCACAGGAGGTCGATCTTCCGGCACACGGTTTTCATCCCATGGGGACGCCAACAATGCCTCACCCTTTAGACGCATAAACAAACCGGGGTGATAGCCCAGCCCAAGCGTTAGCTGAGCTTCAGATTCGGGCTCTCCATCGGGCCAGAAGCAGGTGTACTCTTCAGCGGTGCACAAACTGTTCAGCGGGTATACTTCACCGCCAAGCGCGGCCTTGTAAATCTTCTCTCGGATCTCAGCTGGAAAGTCCTCGAAGCGACGTTTGCTGCCCTTGCTCTTGTACCACTTGAACTGCAAGTGATCGCCAAGGCGACCGAGCCATTTGCGCGACTTGACAATTTTTGCTAGCCAGTCACCGAAAGACACCCACTCCTTCTTGTATGTATCGTAGATGTGGATAGTCTCGGCAGTCGGTGGTGAGCCATTAGGCAAGATGGTAACCCACTTCGCTTGTTTCACACTGTCTTTCTCAAGAATTTCAAAGTAGTAAGACTTGATATCGAAGAGATTCATGTGAGGCGGCCAAAGCGGAGGCGCATCGTTGACAGGCCGGATATTGACCCGCAGAGCGAAAGCAGCGAAGTTGTGTTTCTTCGGCCTGTTCATCGTATGATACATCTCAGCGAGTACAGGGTCGTTGAAGTGCCAGCCCTTATTGAACTCGTACGTGGTCTCGTCGGTGAAGCGGCCGACTTGTCCATCGCGTGGACATTGCATCATCTCGAGCGCGCAGGTGATTTTGTCGTTGCGCGCATCGGGGAGGACGCGGTTATACTTTCGAGGTCGCTTTGCGAGATCGTCGTCGGCAGGAGAATCGAAGATTGCTAGGCGGCTTAGGAGAAAGGTTGGTGCTGCTGCGTTGAGCTTTGAGGACTTGATGGGTACGAAGGGGGGCGCTGTGGCGGTGAGCTTTGAGCTCCTTGCGATACCAGTGGTCTCGAGGAAGTTGTCATGGTTGAACCGTTGGGTGGCGGAGCCGAAGGTATCCGCGTTCGAAGGAGCGATCTCGTACTCGTACTGCCAGGGGTCGTAGGAGGGATCAAGTAGGCTAAAGGGAGTCATCTCGAAGCTGCTCGAGTATTGTTGAACGGGATAACCATGATAGCCGACGGGCGAATGCACATGGTAATCCCAATACTGAGATGGTACAAACAACGGTATTCGAGGAAGAGTAGGACTAGCCATGTCGTGTTCGAAATCAGACCGAGAGTGGTAGTCAGGGTCGAAAGGCTCCGCGGAGAGACCAAAGGCAGCTATTTCGGACATCGTGTTGGAATCAAGGAAGTTGATGGGCCTTGTAGTTGACTGTGTTTGATAGACTAGGGTTTGATAGATCCGAGCATAGGCATAGGGAGGTGATACTAGCGCCAGATAAAGGGGACGGTCTGTGCATTTTGCTGTAGGCAGTAGGAATAGGGAATGGAGTGGCGGATACGCAGGCTTCACTTTGCTTTCTCTGGTTTCTTCCGTGTTAGTTGGGCTACTAAATATACAGAATAGCTTGTCAAAATACCTGGTGCATTAGACCGTGGCAACAAAATTGTTGCGCGGCCACCTATACGCGATGTTGAGTGCGTGTTTGGAGCCGACGAGTATCTCAGAGCGCAATAAAGCATGATGAAGTAATTTTTTGATATCTTGAACGTCTTGGAAGCTAGCTTCGAGTTCCAATGTGGAGAACAGATAAGTGAGTTGCCTGTTCATACTCGTCTTGTTTGACGTGTGCAGATTGCGATCTTAGTCTCTAAAGCTTCACTCATTCTTCGTCAAGTGAAGAAGCATGATCGATTACGACACGTTCTATCAGAACTCCAATGGCTATTCGCGCTTGGCGATATCTGGTGTACTCCTCCGGTCAATTGATTAAGGTAATCCCGCCTTGCGACGAGCCTGTTGGACCGGATGCCCTGGTCTTCCGAGATACGGATGACATGATCCCAGTCTTGGCTCGCTCAAGAAGCATCGTCCTATTCCTCGCAGTCAAAATCGTCGGGCGGAGGTAATTTTTTCGATGGAAAGTCGGAAATGTAACGGTTACCGTGTCTAGTCTTGCAAGGCGTGCGACAAAAGCAAGGAGGTGGGCTATCAATATTGTTAGCAAGTAACCAGGGTGGGAAGCTTTTTGAAGATGAGTAGATGCTTACATATCTGCTGATGGGGTATCCAGAATGGCCGCCTGCTCAGCAGCGTGGTCCATTACGCCATCCTTGTCTTTTGCAGGCAGCGCGAGGAGTTTGTTCCATTTGTCCTTTGTGTCCTTTTTCAGAATCCCACCCAGTCTCACCTTTGGCAGATCCTTTACAAAAGGCCAGGCGAATGTCATGATCCAGTCGACCACTGTTCGTTGACAACAGACAAAGCTGACCATTATTGACATGTCGACATGACGCATCCCATAAGGATAGTAAGCGGCTCCGTCATCTGGGCTTCGAAACCAAAGCTGCAGAGTTGACAGTCCATCCAATGTAGAGAGTATAGGTCCAAGAGACACACCGTTATTCATCTTGATGTTGTCACGAAATCCGACGCCGAAGAAACTGAACCAATCGGACATCGTGAAGTCGAGAATGAGGTGATTGAGCCAGTTATAGTTCGGTTTTGTACCCGCCTCAAGAACTGATCTGAGCTGAATTGGTGAGAAGAAGCACTTCCGGGTGTTCTCCCAGCCAGCCTGAAGTGCCTCACCATAGGTCTGTCTGTTTATAGACAAGAGCGCAAGATTGGGCTCGTAAGCGGAGCACCCTGCAACTGTGTGCTCACGTCCATACAGCCGTGAGGGATGGCGCTGATCGATTTGACTGCTATCATGCCAATTGCGGAAGCCCAGGCCGAGACGAACCTCAGCGTCCTTGAATATAGTCAAAGGGTAGATTCTAGGACCGAGAGCAAATTCGAAAACCTTCATGCGCATTTCGGTTGGAAGGTCGGCGAGCCGGAAGTGCTTCCCATTGAGCTTCCACCATCTGCGCTGCGCCCTGTAGCCCCTCTCGCCAACCAAGTCTTCAGCGGGCGCCTGGCTGGAAAGCAGCCAGTCTTTTAACAAGATCCATTCTGTACCGATCTTTAAGTGTAGATTATCCTCTGTCGGACCGGGCATTCCTGGGGAAAAGGTTACCCAAGCGGTGAGGGGAAACTCATTGAATCTATCCATAAAGGTATACAGTTTGCTGCAGTACGTGGTGTAATCGGGCAAAACCAGCCAGAACGGTGGTGAATTGCTGGTAGGTTCTACTCGGAAATGCATGTCTGCGACGCCGATGTGGTCCGCTTCCATGTCGCGAATAAGAAGTGTAATGTACCACATGACTGCGTCGTTCTGGCGAGGAGCTGGTTCGAAGTTGTACGTGTACTTGTTCGGTCCGTAGTTGAGCGATCGTAGTTTATCGAAGGGTGGCGGACAGTATTGTACGCTGTTGAAGCGGTTGATGGACTCTCCTTTTCCACCATCCGCTATCGCCATGCGTTCCAGAGCGAGTATTCGGGTCTCCAAGTCAGGTATTTCTAACGACATTGTTGGTAGCGTTCGTATATGGAGGTTGGGGTAGAGGTTGAGGACAAAGATGCTAGTAATGCTGATCAGTGATGCGGGCGCAAGTATTGACAAGAGGCAGGAGGCGTTGGCGAATAAATAGTCCAGTCAGCGCTTAAAGTGAATAGACCAGTAGGCTCCAAGCAAAGAGCCATGTCAAGAGAAGGTCTTGGAAACCGGAGCTCCTAATACGGTCAATGCGCCCATTCTCTCTCGGGGCGCATGATGGAAGTTGCAGGAGCAACCGCCGAGGTTTCCTTACCCTTTTCGTTAGAAAATGCTTTTTCGCATAGGTATAGTATGGTTCATTCAGATTGCGGCTGGATCGGCGATCTCTGAGAGGAAGACCCTGTTATCGTCTCTGGTTTGAGTCGACCAGCCATCATGCAGGCGAGCACACTGAGCAACGCACCGCCAAGGCTACAAAGAACAACAATTAGATTGGTCAAGAACGGACGGTGCTCAAGCGGTACGGTAGATGGAGACAAACCCAACCCCCAGATACGCCTCGCTATACCAATACTCCAAGACTACTCACCACAACAGATAAGCGCCAACGAACAATGAAGCAATAGAAAGCCCTTGACTTCTCAGAATATGCGCCGCGCTGGTACTCTCTGTGCCACAGCACGACTGCTCGTTGTACGTGACGTTGTTGGCCGTCGCAGCAACCTGGAAGACAGAGCCATTAAAGTTGCCATAGTTGTAGTAGTCGACGAGTATCCAACTCGGCGGGCGATTCCACATTTTCTCGCAGTTTTGTACATTAAGACCAACACTGCCGTTTCCAGAAACAGCATTGATCTCGTCGAGGAGGGAGTATGCTGGTATGAGGATGCTGCTCACGCCTGGGAGACTGACTTCGATGTTCAGGTTGTGGTTCATCACGTACATGCGCTCGCGTGAGACTTCTTCTGGCTGGTTCGGGGGTCGTTGCTCCGTACAAGGGAACGCGGGATCGGTTGGCGAAAAGGGTGTTTGCCACTGATAGTTGAACTCGCTGAGCAGCCAGGGGACTTGTTCATGGTCTGCGCCATAGTCCAACATCACCACGACACGCTTAGTCCTAATAATCATCTCGGCCAATGTGGGCCAGTCCGTCAGGTTCAGACTAGCCGAAGGCGGTGTCCATACGTATTCCATAATTCCTGAGTTTTGAAAAGGTGCGATATAGTCTGTCGCTGGGTTTCGGGTATCCTGACCGTTGTTGTTGCCCATCATGATAGCAATGACTTCGAACGGGTTCTGGTCGAGCCAGCCTTTGACTGTTGCGAGATATGATTCGAGGGTGCCCACGTCGAGCAGGCTGCAGGAGGTGTGGCAGAGGCGTATAGCGGAGGTCTCGTTGGGTTTTTGGGTCTCGAATTGCACTGTTGTCGGATGTCAGCCAGAGTTTTCTAGTATCGTGTATGATGCGCTTACACCCTCGAATTCCATCATTGAGCTGATTAAGCACTGGGTAGTCTTGGTTGCTGGCTGCATTGTGCGGCCTCACGAATGGGCTATTATGTGCGACGACCATAGAGATGTTGGAAAACCTCCTCTGGCAAAACTCGACGTATCCATTGCAGGGCTGAGTATTAGTCGGACTTGGACGAGCAGATGTCGTGGTTGTGGAAGCAGTGCCGTTTGAGGATTCGGTCGAAGGTGACAGCCCGACTATGGCTGTCACCTCTTGTGTTGTCGTTGACGAGGTAGCGGTGGCATTCTGCCGTCCGGAGGTAAATGTGCTCAGGACAATGCCCGGGAGACCGCTCGAGAAGTCCGCGGAGTAGGTGCTCGTAAAGGTACTGGAGACATCGACGATCTGTTCAGTAGAACTGCTAGGTATAGGCGTATCTAGTGCGGAGGAGGGAGAAGACTGTGCGGTTATAGGTATCGTAAGTAGGGCCAACGGGAAGAAAAACAATGTAGGAATCATGAGGGCGATGCGATGCGAAAGAATGACGAAGTGCTAGTTAGCATATGTTATGCAATGCCGGCATACAATCGATGCTATGCGCTGTACTTATCGAGAGACGAGGTCAAGACAGTCTGCCTTACCAGCACTACGTTGGTGGTGCACCTTAGCTGACATTCGCCGGAAAGCACGATGACGGCATTGCTCGCCTCGAACGCCATCACACGTTGTGTCGGATCTACGCGGGGAAGGCTGAATGCGACCATCTCGAAGGCCTATCCGTCCTGGGGAACGCCTTTCGCGTTAATCGGAGATTTATGGGTCCAATAGCAGCCACGCAATGGTTTGACGTAGTAGACATTGACTGCAGTAGGGCTGGCGTTGGCAGCAAGAGGGCTTGTGGCGGTTTTGGCGCACGCGGGTCTGAAGAGCCGCGTCGTGAGGCATTTCGACGCGTCATTAGCCTCCAAGACTGCGAGTCACGGCCGATAGGAACATTGAACGATGCAAAGAGTGCTGAAAGCTGATCTAGCTGTGAGCCTGTAGAGGAAGGCTGGGGTTGAGTACGCGACATGGAAGACGCCCAGCCTCGCGTGACACGCTAACCGCTCCAGGGCCTAAGCTTCAGGGACTGAGGGTCAAGCCTCACGGAGGTCCACCCCAAATGCTTCAGCCCATGAACACGAGCTTAGGGCCAGCTAGACATATTACTTCCAGCAGAGCTCTCGCTGCCCGTCGCTCTTTAATGTGTTGTTTCCTTATTTCCGGAGGCATTCACACACGACTCCTGGAAGGCATTTGGAGGGCTCGTTCTAGCCTCAACAACAAACAGCATGCCGGTCGAGCCTACTGAAGACTCCGACATTGGAGACACAGAAATGAACTTTTGACCCGGAAAATGATCAACATTACTTGTCACATAGAACTCGCGCTTCTTCCTGTCACTATTCTACTAATCCCAACAGCCGTAAAATCGACGCAGGTCCACCTCACATCCGGATTCGCCGCAAACCTCTATCTACCATCTGATCGACGAAGAAGGCAATGCGCCTTAGACTCGCGCTAGAGGTCTGAACACAGTTCGCGCAATCTCTCACACAAACACCCTCTTAACCCCAACCTTAACACAACTCGGCGGATCTAGCAAAAGCAGTCAGCACAGTCCCACCAACCCAACATCAACATCTACCGAAAAAAGAAGAAAGCACCAAACTTACCAGGTTTGCCAACCCCCGTCCCCCACACCAAAGTCTGTCTGACATACCCCGTCCCATAGTACGTGAAGCACACCCACCAGCGATAGTACCCCGTCCACTCACCCATACCTGGTCTCTCAGCCCCCCAGGTAATCGGATTCTGGAAGTTTAGTATTTTGTTGTTGTCGAAGGAGAGGCTGCCGTCGCCGCTGTAGGTCATGGCGAGTTGGGCAATGGACAATGGGACGATGTCTTGTGGTTGGAGGAGCACGGAGAGGTCGATGGGGTAGGGGTCGTAGGGGATGGTCCAGGAGAGGATGCCTTGGGTGCCGAAGGTCTGGGTGGGGTGTTAGTGGGTGTGGGGATGGAGGTTGCGGGTTTCTGTTGGTGGGTGGTAGGGCTGGCAGGAAAGGCAAGGGAGGACTTGGATGGGAGACGTGCATTTGTTATAGCAGTGTCTGTCGTGTTGTGGGTCAAGACAACGGGATACTGGGCCCCTTCTTCTGAAAGTGTGGGACAAAGCGTGAAAACTGCTGCACCTGCATGGCATGCAGATAGTGTTTTGCCGTTCAGGGAAGGATCTTCGGATATGAGGACGAGGTTGAAGGGGTCAGATTGTATGGTGTAGATGGGTTCACAATCGTATTCGCAATCAGCGTCAGCGTGAGTGAGAGCTGCGAAAGCGAGAAGGATAGGAACAAGTTTGAACATGGTGGCGGTAATCTGGACGGTGCGTACAGGTGTATATCGCGCCAGAAAGCTAGGGAGGAAGGACTCTGGCTTATAGATATGTATAGAGGCGACCTTCGATCACATCACACGTGGAGCGGATTGCGCATGTCAAAGGAGTGTCATTATCTATTAGCATTAGTTGCGTAGCACGTCAAGTCGTAAATCCCGATTGGGCCTTCCTCCTTCTCCCCTCTTCTCAGCCAACCATTACGGAACAGATTCTTCCATCACAATTCTTCGCTCTAGACAAACACCCTCGTCACGTTGACAGAGACACAGGTTGGGTTGTCTGGCTTGCCCGCGCCCAATCCCCATGCCAGGTTGTTGTACCTGTAGCTGGCATAGTCCGTGTCGCATGCATACCAGCGGTAGAATTCCTGGTAGTTGCCTGTGTTGTTCTCGCCGCGGACATAGCCCTGATACGTAAGTTCATCCTGGGAGTCGAAAGCCAGCATAGTCGTATCGCTTCCGCTTCCGGGGCTGAGAGTGATGCCTGCAAGGTTGGAAGTTGGGTCGAGGTTGAAGGCCGCTGATGAGGGAATGTCGAGGGTGGTGGTATTCAACCACCAGGTCAAGATGCCTGGTACGCCGAAGCCGTCCTCTGGTGCTTGAGAGTAGACGGATGTGTTGAATTGGAATTGTGCGCCGTCGAGGGGTTCTGGGCTGTCACCTACGCCAGCGTTGCTGAGGCAGAGTGATTCAATGGCTGCACCGACGTGACAGGCGCTTAGCGTGTCATTGACCTTTCCGTCTTCGGATGTGACAACTAGGAAGAATGGTGCAGAGCTGATGTTGTAGAACGGATCCTGTGCGCTCGTAACGGCAGCTACTGCAAGGGTGAGGGCGATGGACGAGGTCTTCATTTTGAACGATGCTGGTGAGTTTGTAGGTGGTCGATGCAATGATAGAGTCTGGTATCCTAGGCGTTGATCGAGTATGTAGGAGCTGATGAGTGCAGTTCACCAACAACGGCATGGGCGAACTTTATACTCACGATCATCCCTCGTAGTCGCCGTATTCGCGCAGCCTCATCGCAGCTCCCTCCAAAGGTTCCACTTGCACAGCAGTCATGTGTTCCACCATAACGGGCCCCAGCCAGCCCATGACGTTCCGCTACCCGTTAGCTTTGGCCGCCTTGCCACACCCATGATGATCTTTTCCAGTCGGCTGCGTTCGCTCCGTATGTAGTACCGCACGGCATGCCCGATGAGGGTCAGCGCAACTCAATCAGGGCAGTTATAGATCAACCCCGCGCGTTAGCGAGCGAAGCTTTCCCCAGCCTGCCGGATAAGTCTTGCATAAGTGCCACAAGTGCCACAGCTGCACAGGGCCTCAGGGTGCATGTAGCGTGAGGATCAGCTGTCAATACGAGGGTCGAATCGATAGCTCAGTACCGAACCTGCAGGTGAAAAAAGTAAAGGTGCGGCGAAAAAGCTGTGTTCGTGAGCGTGAGCAATATGAGAGGCATCATAAGCACTGCTTTGGAAGGCTGATTAAGCCTAGTACGAGGTCGTATATGACCTTGCTCGTGATGTGCTGATGCATTCGATATTGTGTTAATTGTGCACCCTCGTACGACGAAGATGATGGTGGAGAGTAGTACGTTGCTCTCTGTCAATGACGCAATGGTTCAGGCCGGTTGTAAGCCGGAGTTACCCTGTTAGCGTCAAAGCTTATCGATTCTAAACTCGCCGGAGGTGTGACATCGTCTACGGCTTCAGATTTACACCCTCACACCAACTACGAGATGAATGGCTTTGATCGGGATACTGCCTTTGCGATGGTCGCCTTGATTCACTACGCTTTCGCCAGCACCTTCCGGATACGAACTGACCGGTCGCAGCACCTAATAATATACAGAGCGCCGGACGCGTAGAATACTAAGACAGAGCTACGAAGCCATTCTCGAGCCACCGTTGCAACTCTATACTCCTAGGGTGAGGTAAGAGCTTACCATTACATACTATAAACCGTATGTATGCTTGAGGACCTTATTCCATCGACATCAGAGCGCTGACTGACGACAGGCGCAGCATCGCAATAGCCCTTTCCATCAACTATGATGCAACCACTGGACGCCCACTCCTCGTATACGCACAACACGTAGCTTCGTCATATAACCAACTCCGGCAGCCGATAAGCCACCACACTAGCGATGTCTTGCTCCGCCATCATATCCACTGGCACCCAGCGCAGTGGCCGGCTCGTCGTCAGCATGTGCGCTCCTCCTCTCGGCCGAGTCCCGCGATACACCCTCATAAGCAGGTTTTGGTTGCGTCCAGTACCAACAGGCCCATGTGATCCAGCAGAAGATGACATCGAATCCCACGCTGCTCACTGCTGGGTGTTCTAGCAGAGCACTCTGGATTCCCACAAACCCACCATAGGCATACGCTGTTGCGGTAGTCCATGCCAGCATCAGTCCGGCATTCCCTAGGACCAGTGCCCACATGTAGCTGTAGACCTTGTCGGTGAATTGGCTATCCTCGATGAAGGATGAGGCCGGTACAACAGCGCGTGCAATGGGCAAGAGCATCAAAGCGATGTGTGGAGCCATGAGCACCGGCATGAAGTGTGTAGGGTGATGCCAGTAGTGTTCATCTGCTAGTTGCATCGCGGGATAAGCAGTTGCAAAGATGGCGAAAATGTTTAGGAGCCATGGACCTAGCCACGTTTGCCGACGCGAACCATATGACGATGGAGCTGGTGCCGGCGGGCTTAATAGTAGGGTGAGCATG